CCAAGAGGAAGCTTCCTTGTAATTTTCTCATCATGACATGTTCTTTTAACCACCTCACTACCCCCTCCGTTTCAAAATGTAAAACTCAATCTTAGTCTGTGGGCTGTACAAGATCAGGTGGTAAGCTGAATGTGGACCTCTGCTCCCAAGCATCCAACCTATTTTGACTTTACCAGTCTCCCTTGCAGGGTGGTCACAGGATTCGGTTCTGGCCCATAAGACCGGAGTGGACCGTGTGCTAGGGGAAGGGTTCGGGGATAGCTTTTATTATCTTGATAAAAGCAGACTTTTCTCTTTTTGTCTCTGTCTTGAATAAGAATGTGGATGATGGAAGCATTGGTCATGATTGGGCAACAAAGAGGATGTAGGTCAGCACAGCAGAGATTAGAAGGCGAAGGCAGAGAGAGCTTGTTGCAGACAATGCCAACCACCACCCACCCTGCAGCTTGTCAGGTGAGAAGGATGATACCCCACGTTTAAGCAGCTGTCCATCAGCGTCCTTATTACTTGCAGTTGCATTCTTTACCTTTCCAGCGTGCTAGAGATGTCCGTGGCTGTCTGCCCCTGGCCCATCTGGGAGCATCACTCCACCCACGGACACTGGTACCTGGACAGCTGTGTTTTATACCGTGTGATCTGACCCACTTCGTCTAACTGCCCAGCTGATCAGACTTGACCCCAAATTAGCCCTTCCATAGGCTGGCCGGTGACCTATGACCTCTGTGGCTTGACCCAAGAGATGAGTGGGACCCATCTGGACCCCTCTCAGGAACAGGAGTGGGGACCCCTTCTTTTGTTTCTGACAGGACAGAAAGAGGTAGACATAGCAGTATGGTGGAGTCATGGGAATGACGAACCCCGGAGGGAACGTGCACAAATGTCACAGGGGAGGTCCCTGGAATGGCCTCCAATGCATCCCTCTCTCCAGCTCCCAGCTCTGAGAGCTCAGGCTGTTGTGGCCCCGGTTCCTGGATTTCTTCTGGATTCTAAATGCATCCTGCATTTCCTGCTTAGCTCTTCCCCAGACCAGAGCAATTTGAGAATGTGGGGCGGGGGGGGGGGGGGCCCCTTTTAGCATATCTTTTGTTTCCCTGCTCCTGCCAAGGGGTGGGTGGAGGACAGGAAGAGAGCCAGCCCCCAGAGCAGCCCCTCTGCCCAAAGGCCCTGCCTCCAACACCACCTGGGTCCACAGGGCTCCCCAGAGAGCTGTTCTGAGCAGAGGCTGCGGGAGCCATTTAGCCTTTACAAGCATCTGGTTTTGTGCTTCGCTGGAGCCACAAGAAGAAGAAGAAGAAGAAAAAATTCTTTCCAAGTAGATGGTGACCATGTAAGTCCCTGGGGGTGTAACAGGATGGAAATAGAAACAGGGTCAGGAGGGCACCGAGGAGTCGGGACTCTGACAGGTCATGAAGGGAAGGCAACCAAGGTCCCAAACCTTTTGCCAGGACCTGTCAGCGCCCAGAGCAGGAGGCACTAAAGGCTTGGGGCGGGAGCCCAGGTGGCGGGCTGGGCAGGTGGAAGGCACACCAAGCGGGTGTTCCTACAGAAGTCCCGGTGCAGCCGGCTGTCTGGCTGGGGGAAGACACAGGCGTCAGCCTTGTGAGGATGGGCGGAACCAGTGGGGGTGAGGGTCTTGCAAAGACAGTGATGCTGAGCGTTAGGTGGGTAATGGGGCGGTGTCCCGGGGAAGGGCCGGTTGGCCAGCTCCATCCATCCAGGATTTAACGAACACTTACACCCAGCCCTGAGCAGTTCTGGGGACAGCTCTCTCCCCACACACAGGCATGGCTTCTAGCAGTGGGTTCGAAGCCTGGATGACCTTGGTGCGAGCTACCAAGGAGGCTGAGGGACATGTGGGGGTTATTTGGGGCAGGGGATCTGGAAAGATCTTGGGAAGAAGGTGGGTAGGCTCAGGGCTTCCAGGAGCCTGCAGCCTCAGCACCAGGGCCTTTGTCATGCCCACATGGCGTTGAGGTTGAGGAGATGGCCTTGCAGGAGGCGAGTGGCCTGGTATTTGGGGTGTCTGGGATCCACCCAGGGGGAGGGTGAATCCTCCTCTGGAGCTACAGACAAACTCTTGGGAGCCATTTATGTACAAGTGGTCACAGATCATTTGGAACGGATGAGATCATGTGGAGAGTTGAGAAGAGGAAGAAGGAAACCTTGGGGAACATATAATGGCAGAGAGAGGCGCCTGCGCAGGAGGCAGAGAGAGAGTGTGGTCAGGGAACCAAAAGAGATCCCAGGGCGTGGCTTGGGCGGGGAGACGAACATTTCAGCCACCGGCGTGGACTGTGCAGACAGAGGGAGGAGGTTGGGGAAATGAGACGTCCCAGGTGACTTGCAAAAGCAGCTCTGGGGAATGGTGGGGACAGAGGTCCCTGAAAGAGTGTGGGAAGCAAGTCAAGATGGGTGGCAAGAGCCAAGCTCAAATGGGGAGGGCGGGCAGACTGGCCTGGGGCCTGGAGTGGGAGGCAGAAATGAGACTGTCTAAGGATGGTGGGGGCAGAGGGTTTAGGCAATGCCAGTGTCTTTGGAGGCCTGTTCTCTCCCTGTCCCATCTCACAGGGCCGTCCATTTCCCACTCACAAAAACCCTCAAGGTCCCGCCCCATTTCTTGAAGACTGTGTACAGGGGCTCATATTCCCATTCTAATCAGTACTTCCCACTTCCCACTCTCCCAGCCACCTTGACCTTTCCTAGAGGCCTCTGGAGACAACGGCCTCATTTCTATATGTACTGAAGAGACAGTAGCTCTAGTCAGATGTGTCCACTCCATGACTTTTGGCATGTCCTGACAACCACAGTCAGCAACTCTGTGCTTTCCTGATGAGAAGAACTGGGTCCCTGGCTGCCCTTGCTGCAACACAGCCTTTCTGGGGGCTTTGCAGCTCTCCCCGATCTCCTGAAGGCTTGGTATGGGGGTGTAGGAGGAAACAGCTGCGTGCAGAGGGCCTCTGTGCCCAGGAGATGGGAGCTGAGGCTTGAACGTCAGCCATGTTTTGCTGATTAATCATTGTGCCTAGAGAAAGTGCTGGGCAAGCTGCCAGCCTCACCTGCCTGCATGCCTACTGGTTATCCATGACAGGACAGGGGGACCCCCCTAAAATTCCCCTTATGAAGGCTCCCTCCCCAACCTGCTCCCTTGTCCCTTTTGTCAGTCTCCTGTGGGCTTAACTGCCCTGGCATGTGGGAGCCCATATTGTTCACCTGCTCAGAGACCCTCTCCTGCTGTTGAACCCCCTGCCCAGGAGCCCAATGTTCAATTCTCTGATGACGGGGTCTGCCCCTTTGTTGATCCCTGACCTGAGGCATGGCCCCCACCTTTGTGAGAAAATAGCAAGGGCTGTCCCCCAGTGTCCCCAGCTTCAGGGTGGCCAATGTGCTGTAAAGTGGGCCCTCTTCGGGGTCGGCAGCATGTTCCCAGCACCCACCTTAAGCTGCCTTTCCTGTGCCTTCAGGGGATGCCAGGCCTGAAGGTCTAGAACCTGCTGTAGACCCACAGTATGAAATGTCTGCTCCTGAGCCTCAATATTGGCTGTCCTTTTACCTCATAAAATTGGGGTGAGGGGTCTAAAATTGTGGTGACCTTTCAAACAGATTACTTCCTCAGTACAGGATGGAAACTTCTGGCTCAAACTATTGGTCCACATGGGCCCCAGCAACTGGCTCTTCCAGTTTTAGAACATTTCCCACTCCAGACACCCCGGGGTATCACCTAACCAGCTTTCCACGGGACCACATTCACCACCCCCACTCAGGTTGTATGTATGTAATTGATATTATCCAGCGGAGACTACATTACCTGCAGTCTCTTGAGAATGTGACAAGTGTTGGGACATTTCATTCAACACTAACGAGCACGGTTCCTAGGTAGGCAGGTGTTCACTCACTCACCATGTACACTTGTCTACATGGGCTTGTATATTTTTTCACGTAATGTTTCACCCTGATGGCCACCTTCCTCACCGAGGCCCTCAGAGCATCATAGATATATCTGGGGAGACTGACAAAATGAAAATTTGTGCCTATGATTGTCTGATTCCCAAGACTAATCATGTGAATTTTAAAAGCCACCAAACTCCTGAGTCCTTTGGTCACGCTAAAAGTTCCACAGGATAGCAGCCATCAGTTGAAGAGATCAAGGTGAATGGAGACCTGATCTATCCTGTTGGGGGACTTTAGACCTTGAAGGATTTTAGAAAAAAAAAAAAAAAGTAATTCTTTATGGGTTACAAGCTAAAGAGGGACAGTTTGCACAGTTTGGACAAAATAGAAGTACTCTTACCAATAAATATGTCTCAAAATGACAAATAAAGCTCTCCCCATTTGATGGCTCCAGATCCCAGCAAGAAGTGATGGGCACAGGCACTATGTACAGAGTGTAAACAGTAAGGCCCTTGGACATGATGAGGGGCAAGGCCAGGTGATGGGGGATGCATGAAGGAGCCTCTGCAGGGGGAGTGGGTCCTTGGGTAAATATAACAGGCTTGTAGGATGGCCATCCAATGTGCCACCAAAGTTTGTGGGTGGTGTTGGCAGGTCCACTGCGTTCCTCCAGTCGGCAGTAAGGAGAAATTGTGTCCACTGAGAAGCCTTGCCCCATGGACTCTTTCCCTAGGGGAGGCGTTGGAGATAGCCAAGCAGGGCCTCTGTGTCCCTTCGTCCCCAAGAAGGGGGGCAGGCCTGCTGGCCATACTTGAGGCTGTGTACCCAGGGTTCAGAACATGGATTGTGTTTCTCGAAAAAGGATTGAGAGCAAATGGAGCCCGCAGCCCCTTCCTCTAGAGGAGGCGCTCCAGGCACCTGGGTCAGGAGGGAGACATAACTTTTCAACTTTCAAGCGCCTTACCCAGACTCCGTTCCTCAGGGAGGCCAGACAGCAGCCGCCCTGATCAGTGTCCCGGTCCGGATCCCGCACCGGCCTCTTGAACAAAGCCAGTCTCCCTCACCGCTCTCCCCCCGCCCAGCCCCTTTCCTCCTCCCCCAGCGCACTCCAGGGCCCAGCTCGGAGTCCTTAAATATCAGTCTCCCGGAGGTTGCTGTAGTCGGCCAGTTCGTAGGCCTGGCAGGCGGCGCCCTCGGCCACTTCGTGAGGGACTCCTAGGGACACTGCCTCCACCTCCGCACGCAAGGTGCTGGCGGCCTCTGCGCGCTGCGCGCTCCCGGCGCGGATCTTGTGCGACAGGCTGGAGACCTTGGCACGCAGCTGGGTGGTGGGTCTCCGGAAAGGCCCGAGCAGCCTCCACTCGCGGAAGGAGCAGGGCGACTTTCGACGACAGGCGACAGGAGCCTGCATCTCGGGCGTGCCCGGGGAGCCGGGGGCGGAAGGGGCGGTGAGGGCAAGCGGGGCTCCGGGAGGCGCGGCGCCCGGGCCGGGAGCGCAGTCGGGGCGCGGGCCGCCGGTCGAGGCCCGCCAGTGGTGACCATAGACGCGCCAGAGGGGACGGCGACGCCGGCGACGCCGGCACTGGCAGCGCAGCAGGCGGAGGAAGGCGCGCTTGAACTCGCGGCTGGAGCAAGGGTAGATGAGCGGGTTCACGCAGCTGTTGAAGTAGCCGAGCCAGAAGATCACCTTGAAGACGCCTTCCGAGGGCTTCAGCTGCGGGAACAAGGAGCCTGCAGGGGGCGGGGGGAGGGGGGTGGAGGGAGCAGAAACCCATGCCTGTTAGATCCTCGGGGTGAGGAAGGCCCAGGCAGCCCTCAGGCGCAAAGTCATCAACTAGGGGCTCTCAATGTTTCTCCCTAAGGAGCCCCTGATAGAATTCGAAGGGTCCATGAACTTGGATGAGGAAGAATCATCATTTTCCATGTACTCACTTCTACCTGACATTGAGCATCAAACTCGCATAGAATGAGACCAAACCATATGAAATCACGGTTCTTGGCGCTCAAAACTGGTGCTAGATTGGCGGTTTCATATGATTCGACCTAATATTAGCAGTTCCCACAGATATTTTTCTATCACATTCAGTCACTGCAGATGCTTTGAAATACTGTGTATGCTCCTCACTATTTGGAAACCACAGTCCTCAGAACCCACCACTAGATCCCGTTATTTAATGCTTTAACCTAGAAGGACATTACTTAACTAAATCACAGATGTCATTCACAAATATTTTATTTTCAATGAAATCGGTTTTATTTGCAACTCTTTGTGTTTTAGCATATGCATAAGCTTGCGGGATGCCCACATAGTCTCTAGCACAAAAAGGGTAAGAATCTTTGAATTAAATGTTGCCCGAAGCATGCCCCACATCAGGTACTGTGCTGGGCTCACATCAAACATGGTCACGTTCTCTTAGTAGCTGTGTGCCTCAAATATCAAGGGGATGAAGATGGGGTGATGGTAATGCTCAGCACATGGGGTGGCGTCTGCCAGGATTCTCGGGGGATGGACAGGAGTCTTGCAGGATGAGGAGGGGCAGAAGGTGTTAGGAGTGGAGGGGACAGGTGGGCAAGATGATTACAAGTTTGGGGCCTGGGAGTGTCCTATGGGATACGCTGAGAAAATGTCATTTGGGACAGATGGTGAAGAGCCTTAAATTCTGGGAATTTCAGGGGTGCTGGGTGGCTCAGTTGGTTAAGCATTTGACTTCGGCTCAAGGCATGATCTCGCGATTCATGAGTTCGAGCCCCGCATCAGGCTCTGTGCTGACAGCTCAGAGCCTGGACCCTGATTCAGAGTCTGTGTCTCCCTCTCTTTCTCTGCCCCTCCCCTGCTTGTGCTCTATCTCTGTCTCTCTCAAAAATAATAAACATATATATTTTTTTTAAATCCTGGGAATTTCTGTATTTGTGGGTAGTTGGGAGCGTGGATATTTTCAAGCAGGCAAGAGACAGAGCCTAGAATTAAGGCTCAATAAACACAATGCCCGTGGCTGCTGGAAGGCAGGTCAAGGGGGCTGTCCCAGTGGAAGTGGTCAGGTGAACCTTCTGGGATGGCTCTGATGGAGCAGAGTGCCAGGCAGGAGGGGGTAGGTGCACTAGGATCTGAGCTGTGTCCAAAGGACCCTCCTCACAAACTTCTCCCTGGCATACCCACCAAGGACCAGAAAGAGTCATGTCTTCCAAAGGCACCTGATAAAATGCAAGGGCATGACTCAGAAAGCAAAAGCTACTCTCTCATGCTCACATCCTCAGCAGCTGCAGGGGGAGGGGGTAGGTGGCCAGGACATGTTATCCCAGGCCAAAGCTGCCGGTGTCCCTGAGGCTGAGCAGGCCAGGGACAGGGGTCTCTGACAGATCAGGGGACCTACTCTCTCTTCTCTTTGCCCCCAAAGAAAAACAAGCAGGGTCCCCCATGGAGGGAGCAGAGGCACCATGTTCCCCTCTTTGACCTGGGAGCCCTTGTACATCACCCACTTCCCAACATATAGAGAATTCCTAGTGCCAAGAGACACGGTGGTGGTGGCACAAGAGGAGGGTCACACAGCATCACGAGGCATAGGCCTGAGCAAGTTATTTGGCCATCCAAGTCTCATGTTTTCTGTTAAATACAAGAATATTTCTTGGGGCGCCTGGGTAGCTCAGTCAGTTAAGTATCCGACTTTGGCTAGGTCATGATGTTGCGGTCTGTGAGTCTGAGCCCCACATCGGGCTCTGTGCTGACAGCTCAGGGTCGGGAGCCTGCTTTGGATTCTGTCTCCCAGTCTCTGCCCCTCCCCCACTCATTCTCTCTTCCTCTCTCTCTCTCTCTCAAAAATAAACATTAAAAAATATAAATAAAGAAGTAAAAAGAATACTTCTCAGGAAGGGATTTGTGAAGATTAATACATTCCAGAGTGCAGGACTTAGCAGGCTCTTAATAAAAACACTGGTGTGTCTTCCCCTCTCCCTATCCTGTGGCTTTTGAGAGAGGACAAGTCGGCCCCGGGAAGGGATGCAGTTCCCAGCTCTGGAGAGTAGCCAGAAACAGAAGCCGACCTGGTGGGTTTGGGAGAGGCGGGGCAATCCAGTCAGCTTATGTTAAGAAGATAGTTTCCCCTGGGAGAGGAGTTGGACACTTGTCCTTGGAATGTGGGGGCCACCAGGGTTGACCTCAGGCTCCAGGAAGGTGGCTCTCTGAATAGCATCCCTCCATGGCTGCAAAGTAAGACACAGTGCTGAAAATAGCTCTGACTCAGGCCACAATTCTTTTATATTTAGCCCAGGATGACAAATCAGTGGACTATGCTTTTAGCTGCGAGCCTGAAGCCGGCCAAACGGCATGGTTATCAGAGTGCTGTTTACTCAGATTGGTGGGTGACATGGTGTATTGTATTATGCCCCGGGCTGTGTTATAAACACTATTCTAATTTATGCTCAAGCAACCTGTGCAGAAGCTTGCTACAGGCTGAGAGTTCCTTTCACACAAAGAACCAGGAACCAAACTCAGCCTTTCTGCCCCAAGATTTTCCTACTGTGTCCTGCTGACTCTTCTGACTTACTAAGGGCTCTCCCAGAAGCCAATCCTGAGACAAGGATTCAAGTGCAAGCTGTGAATGGCGGGCACCTGGGTGAGGGGGTTGCGAAATCCCACTGGGAACTCTGGGAGACCATGATGTTCAGGGACCTCGGATCCATCCTACCAGTGGGGTGAGGGAGGTGGGGTATCTATACACCCATTCCCATCAGTCACGGGCTGGGCTACTCCCAAGGGTGTTAATTTCCCACACTTTCTGCCTCTGCTGGGTGGGTGGATGATGAGGATTTTGGTGAGTGGAGAAAACCCCCGGGCAAAGATGCCGGCAGGTCTGGGGTGGAAGTCAGCCCACGTGCCCTCAAGGTCCAGGGGGTGGGATGTGCGGGTCACTAGCAACATCTGGCAATCGTTTCATGAGCTCTCTGCCCATTGTGTGCAGACATCTGGCCCGGAAAATAAGACGTCTGTGCCTGGGCTCCAGCTTCCACAATAGCACCTCTGTTCCCCTCACAAGTGGCAGCTCTGAGCCTCACACACAGCTCTGCCCAGAGTGTCTGCCCTCCACTCCCTCCCTGCACCCTGCCTCACTCTCCCTGCTGTCCTGCCTGCCCTGTCCCCCCAGCCCCAACTTCTAGCAAAGATCTCTGGGGGCGGAGGGGGCCGTGGGCACTTCCCTGCCCTCTGCGTGCGCAGATGAAATGGGGTATCACCCCGAGATCCCTGAGATGGGCCTTTGGCTCATGGGCACCGTCCCTGCAATGCTGGCCTGCTGTGGGGACATCGGTGGACAAGCCCCTTTGGGGCCACCCTCAGCTTTCTGCTCCCTAGCCACTGGGACGTGGGGACCTGTGGCTACTCAGGCCAACCTCTCCCGTCTTGCCTTCTCATCCCTCTCCAGCGGCCTGGCGCACGCCTCTGCCAGCCCCACAGCCCAGCTACAGGACAGCCTCAGGGAGCACAGGGGGCTCTGAGCCCAGGCCACTGCCTCTCAGTGCCTGGCAGCCCCCTTCCCTGTCCCCGAGCTGGCTCCCTCTCCCACTCCCCACGCTGTCCACAGCCTTCAGAAAGCCCAGTTGTGCTAACTCAACTTGGCAGCTGTCACTGGAAACAGAGGCCCTCATGGGACACTCTCCCTCTGCTCTCACCTCTCTGTCCTGGGCGCCGGCCCAGCATCACACCCTGGCTCTCCCTTCTCCTCTGGCTCCTGCTTCTCAGCCTTACTTCTGTCTTCCGGTGCAGCAGCTCAATGGCCATGCCCACTTCTTGCTGCCCCCTGGCCTCTGTTCATCCTGGATGGCCCTTCCTCTTTCCTCCACCTGTTAGTGCCAGCTCCAGCGGTACCTCCACCTGGAGGCCCTCCGGGCACTGACCCTCCCAACCTGGAAGTTAGGGGTACTCTCCCCATAGCACATCTTCTCACTTCTAAGGGCCAAGTATTCTGCAGGCTACTGTGGATTTCCTTCTATCTTATTTTTATTTATTTTTTAAATGTTTATTTTTGAGAGAGAGAGAGGGAGAGTGCACAACAGGGGAGGGGAAGAGAGAGAGGGAGACACAGATCCAAAGCAGGCTCCAGGCTCTGAGCTGTCAGCACAGAGCCCGACATGGGGCTTGAACTCATGAACTGTGAAATCATGACCTGAGCTGAAGTCGGATGCTTAACTGACTGAGCCACCCAGACACCCCTGGAAAGGTCCTTTTAAAACGTAAGCCTGAGCATTTCATTTCTTCACTTCAAACCCATTTTCCGCTGCTGATGGCAGCTTCTCGTCCTCTCTTTCTTTTCTGCACTTTGACCTTCTGCCAGCCCCTTGGGTTTCTCCTATCCTCCCTGCTGAGCCAACACTGCTATTCACTCACACCTCACACGTCTTTTGTCAGTCGTCCCGTGTCCGCATCCTTCTGCATATGGCTTGTACTTATCCAGCCAGCCCCTGACTCTGGAGCGAGTCACCCACTCCCTGAATACGTGAGAGTCCCTGCCCTCAGCTCTGTCCGCGGCCCCCAGTGACCTTGCCGCGCAACCTCAGCCCACTCTCGCCAAGTCCTGCGCGGGCTCCTTGAGCCTTTACTTTCCCACTTCGCCTCCTCCTTTCACAGAGGAAACAGAAGCTAAAGACGCTGGGCGCTTGCTCTAGCCTTCCTCACCTCTCCTCCTCCTTGGAAAGAAAGGGCTCTCTCCTCCCGCTCGAGGTCAGCATCCCTACTAGTGTCA